TCTTACAATCGCTCTAACGGTGTTAAACTCGATAGAATCTTTTTGATTCTCCCGAATATTCCTCCGATAATACCAATTTTGCCCTTGTACACGAAATTACCCTTAGGGGGTAATTGTAAGCATTTTATTTAATGAGGGGTCATAAATATATAAATAAAATCCAATTCCTCTCACGCCAGCCCACAATCAGACGACACATTCGAGATTGACTTCAAGCTTCAAAGCCTCACCGGGATCTTGCCTGCCGCCGAGAACTCGCCCACACACCGACTGATTTCGTCCGTGGGGCTTCCGTCCTCCTCAAAGCACCTTGATCCGTACTCCGATGATGGTACCTGCAACGCCGGGAGGGATTCCCGGCGGGAAAGCTCCGACGATCAAGTCAGTGATCGAAAAAGATAAGTATATGTGTGATATTGTAAGAATGAATAGTGTAATAATGCGTGTGATTAATGGTCCTTCTATTTATAGATGAGGAAACCTTGGCCTCCAAGGTTTCCTTTTTTAGGGTTTGCTCCTCCCTCAAGTCAAGTGTTTTGGGCCTCTCTTATTGGGCCTGCTTTAGGTCATGCTTAAGGTCACACCTCTGCTGGAATGCGAGTCGCGGTGTTGCCAGCTCGTCATTCGGAGGTCGCAGTTCGGCATCGTTTCTTATAGTAGTGAATTGGCTCTTCTCAGTTCGTATTTATTCATCTTGTCACAGTGGCCCGTATCACCGACAAAACTTGCCTCACCGCCGGAAAATAAGTCCTCCATCGCCGCCGTCTAAGATGTCCTCTATTGCCGTCGAAAAAACGTCCTCCATCGCCGCTCACAAATGTCGATTTTTAATTCGATACACAAGTGTCGATTCTTTTCAAAAATTTCGACATAACAGGTAGGTGTCGAATTTAAGAGGAAAATTTGACGGTCGATGTTAGAGGGAGAACTAATCCGCCGATGCCACTGGATTACTTCGGCAATTGCTTGGGTGGCGGAATAGCGAAAATCAAGCACAAAACACTTGTCGGGGAAGAAGGGTTTGTAATTGCTGCGGAGGCTATAGCTTTGGATATTAAAAACAGGGTGAATAACAAAGACGAGGTTTTGAAAGGTGTCGAGAATTGGATGTCCGATAGTGAGAAATTTGTAGGGATGAGGACAGTTGGGGTTTCCGATTCGCCGACGTTCGACTTGTGCGATGCGGATTTCGGATTGGGAAGGGTGAGAAAGCTTGAAGTCGTGTCGATTGATTGAGAGAAGTATTCGATTTCGTTGTGCAAGTCGAATGATTCCGAAGGAGGACTGGAGATTGGGTCGTCTCTTCCGAAGGACGAAGGGAAGAAGAAGACTCAATATATTTTTCTCCTTTTTTGTTTTTTGTTTTTTTTTGTTTTTATTTATTTTTTTCGTTTTTATTTCTTTTTTTTTTGTTTTTTAAAGATTAATTTATATTTAATATACAACATGTAAGTGGGGTTTTCGTTTATATTTAATATACAATATCGGTTTAATACTCCTCTGGATAAATAAAATCAATTAAAATATATAAATAAAAAAAATTCGGTCAACCGTTAGTCAAGGGGGGTTTTCGTAATTACGAGAACGTGGGAGAATTTTCGTTATTTAGGCTTACCTCAGGGGGGTTTTCGTAATTACGAGAACGTGGGGGGGATTTTCGTTATTTAAGCTTACCTCAGGGGGGTTTTGGTAATTTGCCCAACAATTAAATATATGATAAATTACTGCCATCTCTTCCACCTCTTGAGGTAATGTTAAATTACAAAAACTTTCTTTTGTTTGGATAATTACAACCATTCCTCAATTATAAATTTTCTTGCACATTCAGCTTTATGGTGTCAAATTGAACATAATCTTATAGATTCCGTGAAGTGTTCTCTATTTTGTGTAAAAATGCAGTTTCTAATGCACCACAATCCAATATTTACAAGCCAAGAAACACATGTTATAATCATCTTATTTCAAAATATGGAGCTTGAATGGGGTAAAATAGGTACAAATTGGAAAATATTCCACATAATCTAGAAGATTCCACTAAATTTGAGGAAAAATGTGTAAGAAAATTCATAGTTGAAGGGTGAGTGTAACTACCCAAACATGAGAGATTTTTTTGTAATTTGACACTACTTTTAGAGGAGGTGGCCGTAATTTACACTTCCATATAAAACCAAAGTATATATAACTTGAAAATATGTGTAGTAGCTTACTTTAAACTAATTATTATTATAGTTCTTCCGAGGACCTATAGCTAATTTTCCTTGTATTCAATTCCTCCGACAAACACCGGCGCCGTAAGTGCAAATTAGCAACAGGAAAAACCAAAAAAGAAAAAAAAAAAAAAAAAAAAAAAAGAAGAGAAAATGGTGCAGATAGACGTTGAAATCGGGCAAACAATAATCCGAGCGGCGGAGTTGAACGAGGAAGAAGAAATCAGCTACGACGATCTGGAGCGGCGGATGTGGAATGACCGGGCTCTGATGAAGAAGTTCAAAGCCCGGCCCGGTTCACAGCCCCGGGTCGAGCAATCTCGCCAGAAGAAAATATCCCGAGCCCAAGATTCGATTCTCAGATACATGGTCAAAATCATGGATGTCTGCAAGGGCCAGGGCTTCGTCTACGGCATCCTGCCGGGGGAAGGCACCCCGTTGACCGGTTCGTCGGAGAGCCTCCGCACCTGGTGGAAGGATACGGTTGTTTTCGACAAGAACGCTCCCGCCGCCATCGCCGAGTTACTTCTTCCCGAGATCGCCGCAGCCGGAGTTTTGGACCCGGTGTCCTGTATGCATCTGCTGCAGGAACTGCAGGACACCACCCTGGGATCGATCCTCTCCGCCTTGCTTCCGCACTGTCTGCCACCGCAGCGGACTTTTCCGTTGGATAGAGGGCTGGCGCCGCCGTGGTGGCCGACGGGCGACGAGCTGTGGTGGGGCATACAGGGGGTGGCTGGGGAGCAGGGCCCGCCGCCGTACAGGAAGCCGCACGATCTGAAGAAGGCTTGGAAGGTGAGTGTATTGGCGGCGATAGTACAACACATGTCGCCGGATTTGGATCGGATGAGGGGTTTCGTGACCAAGTCGAAGATTCTGCAGCATAACATGACGGCGAAAGATACCGCCACCTGGTCGAAAGTTGTTAATCAAGAAGAAGCACTTTCTACTATGATGAAGAAATCGCTCAAAATATCCGAAGACGAAGACGAAGAGGAACAAAACACGGAAGAACAAGAAAGGTTATTAGTCGATAACGCGAACGACCGGTTTGAAATCGAGTCGGATTTCTACAATAACAACGACAAGAGAAAATGCGTGTTCGATACGGCTCCGTACGCGAGCGATGAAAATACAAAATGTCGAAAAAGTGGTGGAAATTATAACAACTATGAGGATGAAGAAATGGATTTAGGGGAATGGGTAAAAATGGCATTTGAAAGAAGTAATAGCATGTCAATTAGGTCTGGGAATTATTGGGGAGAAAATCTGATTGAGGAATTGCAGTTTGATAACCCTAATATTCCTCCTCCTGCTGATGTGGACATGTTCTTACCTGATCAAGAAACTTGTTCAAGTACTTCTGTTTGGGATTTACCATATGATCACCACAACCAATTACTGTGACAAGTAAAAACAACTACTTTTCCATGATCTTTTATATATATATATATATATATATATATATATATATATATATATATGGAGTTTCTTTTTGGATTGGTATTTTGTTGTGAATTATAGTCATCAGAAAGTACTTGAGGAAGTGGTATCAAGAGATTGCATATTTATGAATAAAAATTATATGTGTGTGTATATATATATACATATATTTAGATTTTTAACCTGTCAAATTCCGACTGACGTAAAACACGTTACATCTTCAAGAAGAACCATCATCGTCAAATTCGCGGTAAAACAATGATTGAAACATATTTTAGAGCTCCAAACCTTATGAAATTACCATTAAAAGAAAGAGTCCAACGAGATGAATACAACGGTAGTTAAACCATCAAACTGCGACTGCCAGAAAGAAAGTTATATATATACGACTCCGAGAAGTACCATCGTCGCTTGGAAAACGTATGGAGCGGAAATTCGTATCTTTGATAAAGAAATTAACAAAAATTCCCCTTTAAAATTCAGTTAAAGGCAGAAATCTCTATGATGACTTTCGGGTGGCTCAGTCGTTGACTTTTGGACGTGAAATGATAAAATGGTCCCTCAAAATATATTTATATGTATATGTATTTTCTTTTTAATTTTATTGCTTAGAAATTAAAATATTATTAAAAATTAGTACACAATTAAATTGAAAAATTATCCAAAAAATTGGTAGTCAAATTAATTATATGTTTTTTAAATACAAAATAAAAAATACATAAAATGGAATTCACGTTTTCTTTTGATGCAGGATAGTTTAAAATATACTCATAAATCATCTGATAGTAAAATAAAAATAAAAAACTCCATTATTGTACTTTTCTAATTAAGATATAACACAAATAAAATAATTAAAATATTTACAAAATATTAGAATTTGTTAATTGCAAAATCCTAAGGATGTTTGTGTCTCTTTATATCAAGTCAACACTTAAATAGATAAAGAGTCGAGGGTGCTATATGAATAATTTAATCGGGGTTTTTTTTATTAATTTCTTTAATACGTGAAATTTTTACTATTTAGAAATTACACGTGGATACTTTTGCAGTTTATTCTATAAAAGTAATGTAGTAATTATCGTGATAATTTTTCCAACTAATTTTAGGACAAACTAGTATTATTTAAAGATTTTCTGATAATACTCATTACTAAATTAGTTAATTGATTGAATTAGAGTACTTGGTACAATCTTGGAGGTGGAAGTGACCCATCAAATGTAATGGCGACTGGTTGGTTGTAAAGGGGACAAATTAAAACCACGTGGCATGCATGCATGCAGGCAAGCCGCAATTAACCTAGTGAGAATTGTCACGGTTCTCTCTCTCTGCTCGATCTGCCTAATAGCCAAGTTTGCCCGGTTCGGACAAACGCGCCGCCATAAGAAAATATCTGTAGTCAAAGACGCCAATGTAAAAGTCAAAGGCAGGGCTTCGTCTACGGCATCTTGCCGGAGAAGGGCTCTCCGGTGACCGGCTCGTTGGAGAGCCTACGCAACCGGTGGATAAACGGTCGGGGCCGGTTGGGTAGGTTCAGGGGCAAAATTCAGGGGTTTTTTCTTGGGGGCTAGAATATGGGGGTGATTTAAGATTTTTTTTTTTTTTTTTTTTTTTTTTTTGATGAACTCGAATGTATAAGATTGAACGTTATTTGAGGTCGACGAAAGTACATTAACTAATACATAAATAATGAATAAATAAATAAAAATTGTTACAAAAAAATAATTCTAGGGGCGAGGGCCCACCCTCAGTCTACTCCTAAATATGTCATGGGTAAGTGGGAGAGGCCGTCGCTTAATATTTATTTGGCTGCGGCTATATGTAATACTAATTCCACTTGTGCAAGACCAAATTAAAGAAAGCTTTCAAAAGATTCCATTTTATTAAGATGAAATGACAAATATACCCATAAATTAAATTGTCTTTTGTTTGCTCATGCAAGACCAAATAACAAATAATAAACAAATATGAAACCAACTAAATTTCGACATTAAGGTGTCGGATATATGTCCATAAATTCGCACCTTAATGTCGAAATTTAGTATATTTGGACTAATTTGCTAACAATTAAATTTCGACCCTAAGGTGTCCATTTTTGTACTCCAAAATCGACCTCTCAATGTCGATTTGTACCTATAAAATTCGACCTGTACATGTTGACTGTGTCTGCGTGGAATTTTTTTTTTAAAACACAATTTGACACCAATAAATTCCGACCTTAAGATGTCGAATATATGTCCCTAGATTCGACCCCTCA